CATTGCAGTATTTAAGAGTCAGGTTATGCAAGGTACTTTAGTATCTCAAAGCCTGATTTTCCCATCTGCATAATGAATTTATGTTTTAGTAAGGATTAAATAAGATGATGCAAACTACATAAAACAGTGCCCGGTTAAAAGAAGGCACTCAAACATATCCTTGGGTATATAAATTAATTTGTATTTTCTTAAATTCTGTATACATGGTATCATATAAATAGGCACTCTTTGGTGGCATCCAGCTTTTTTCACTCAGCATGGTGATTTTGAGATACATCATATTGTGGGGGGATAAGGACACATATGTAATACCTTAATCAAAAAGAAAAAACATAAAAGAAGGCACTCAATAAATGCCAGTGGTTCTTCATACTATTCCAACATATCGATGAGAAGCACAAATATCATGCAGGTAAACAACAGTCTCTAAGTCTCAAGGTTTCAGATTGGAGACCTGATGAGTATTTTCCTTGGGGAACACACACATCTGAGAACAGAATGCAGTGCAGGGAGAAAGTTTTCGGAAGAAATATAGTTCTAAATAACTCTCCACAGCCTCATTCCATTACTAACTTTTCCTGAGTCTGAACTATGGTTTGAACTTGCCCTATTTCAATTGCCTTGTCCTTAAAGTGTCTGTATATTAATGTCTGTCACTTTTTTCAATTAGACAGGAAAACGAGGAAATGTAAGTAGCCATTCAAGTAAGAGGCATTTCTTAGCTAGGTAACCATCTCAGACCTTTACCTCTGCCTATTATTGTTCTGAAATATTGCAGAAACATTCTTTATTTGCAATTGAAATGTTTATTGTGAAAAAAATTGTATTTGAGCTAAAAGGAACTTCATTCATTACCATAGTTTATTGTTACCTTTACCTTGCAAAGTACTCTTTTTCTCTCACATTAAAAGAGTTGTATTCTTCTATAAATCTACTTTAAAATGACAATCACTGAGAATTTCTTATTTCTCTTTCCATAAGAAAATGCTTTCATGAGAATATCAGAGCAGAAAACTAGAGCAAGGGAAGGTGATGTCGTTTGAGAATGTTTCGTATCTGCCCCAATTCCCCCTTGGAGAGAAAGTGGAAAAAACACTATCAAACTCTGACCTTTTGGCTGCACTTTTTAGACTCCATGTAAGTAATGCCCATTTAGACATTTTAATTCTAGGGATTCCTCAATGTACCGCCATAAGTATTGAACACCCATGCTATTTTATTACTGGATTTAAAAACAGCAGAAGAGTATTAAAGAGAGAATTACTTGACTCATCATTCATTAAAAATGCCTAAAATTTAATAGTCCTGACACTAATTCCCATTCTCAATTACAGACAATGATTTAAAGTGTTTTTAACCATCTGCTAGCAAATACATAATAATAATGTGTAATTGGGACATAAGGTGATTTTCTTCATTATCAAATAATATTCATCTGTAACTACAATATCCAATGGAAATCGATAGGAAATAGATGTTACAAGATTCAGTTTGAAAATATTGTCATTCTATGCAAAAGTATAACTAAATTTTGCAAAATTATTACTAGAGATAAACTTCATAGTTTGAGATCAAAATTATCTTTTGTAAGCTCCAAATGTTTACAGTACAATCAAGATATTTGTAAATGGCACCTATTTTTAAATTCCAGCATTGAATAACAGTGTAGGGATTTAAAGAAAAGGCCCAACTACTATAGTACTTACAAAATATTCATTTTATTAATAATTTACATACAAATAAATAAATTTAAAGAATTATGATATATTTGCACACTAAATTGAAATCCTACAAATGTTTAATATCATCAAAAGTAACTAATCAGATTAATTTTCACAGACCAGTTCCTCAATTTCATCTTCACTATCAGAATCTTCATAAAATGAAATTGTGGCTTGAATTGGAAAAGTTTTCAGAAGAGCTTCTGCTTCTTGATATAAGTAATCATAACACTTTGATTTTGGCCAAAATAGTCTGAAAAAAGCAGACAACATAATACACTTTATCTTTTTTATATTTAGAATCCTTCTACTCATGAAATGTTCAAAGTCAAGAACTCCATGTATTTTTAACAATTAATTTATGCACTTAGACACAGTCTTAAGATGTAGGTTTAAAATGCTACTATCACAGCTTTCATGGAGTCTACTTGCCAAAGTATCAATAACTGGTTGATTATTTTAAATCTTTATCCAAGTTGTAAATTGAGTCAAACAAATTCACACTAAACCCTGTGTAAACCTAAGATCAATATTTAGCTTACTCCAGGCATTATAGATATATTTATTCTTAAAAAAAACAGGCTTATCTTCCAATTTCCAAATATCTTAGGGGGAAAAAATGAATCCTACCATTACACTAGAAATTCTGACAGCTTCATAAAAACAATAAAATGTTATGCCCTTACACAGAGGCAGAAATTACCAAGAATCTTGCTTAAAGCTCACACATTTAACTCTTACAGATGTAGCCAATGTAAGTTTAGAAAAGTACAAAAGCACTATTTTTAAAGGTTTGCTTATGCGCTCACAACTTGAGGTACAACAAGGTTACCTCTGAGCCCAATCTTGATCCCATCTCCCTTCCCTTTCTCCATCCAATCAAATTTGGGACACCATATTGAGAATTAGAATGACACTGGTTTCATACAAATAATTCGCATGTAAACATGTTTACCTCAGAATTTCAAATATTTGAAAAATACTACACTTGTCATCTGATCTATTATTTTTCATCCAAGGAAAAGAAAAGAGTAGAGATAAGGCTGAATGTCCAACAACAGTGTAGTCATTTCAGTGTAAATAGCCCCATGAACTCATATAATAGAGTGATTCTAACAAAAAGATGGTACATTATGCTCAGTATACTCCATTTTAAAAGGCAAAAGAAAAAATAGGCAATGTAGTTTATAACTGTTTTTAGCAATGTGGTAAAAAATAGTTTACAATTTTGGTGTCAAATTAGTAACCTTTAATGATGCAGTCATTCAATAAATATTTCAGTGCTTTCTTATGCTGGACATAATTCATAATTAAAAGAGGAATAAATCACAATCCCTACCCTCAAGAAGTTGACAATTGAGTAAAAAGAATTAGAAACACATAATACTGCTCAAGATAGAAATTTTAAAAAGTAAAATAAGAGAAGTGCAAACATAATTCTACAGTAGTTCAGAATAGGAAAGAATTGCTTGTATACGAAACAAATAGATTTTTTTAATGTGTTTCTGGAATTGCTCAACACAAAGACTCCTGTTTAATTGTTACCATATCCTCCCCAGAATTTCCCACTGGCCCTTTTTCTTCCAGGCACCCCCTACGTTCCTGAATTCCCCTTCTGGATAAGTCTTCTCTGTCTCCTTTGTGGAGCTTCTTTCTCTGTATACAGGTTAGGTACTGGCCTTCCCCCATGGTTTTATCACAAGTGATCATCTCCTCTCTTGGACTCCCCAGAATGACTGACCCACTGCCATGATTTCTCCAACTGTTCATTTACCAAAGCTCCCAAGTCTGCCTTTCCACTTAAGAACTTGATGATGAGTCCCTGAATTACATAGGTAGCTCCCTAATGGACATTGCCACTGGGATGCAATCCCACATTAATAGGCACATTAAATACCTTAAATGGAAAACTGGACCCATTATCTTGCTCCCCAAATCTGTTTTAGCCCTAATTTCCAATCTGTGAGTACAGCATTCAACCTGGTCATCAGCCACAAACTAGGGAACCATTCTGTCTTTTTACCTCTTCTTCATCTACCATATCCAGTACATTATAAGCCTAAATCTACTGTCATCTAGGTATACCCCAAACTCACCCAGTCCCATCCCACACCCAAAGCCTTCGAATGGCTCCTTATCATTCTTGTCTGAACAACTGCAATGCCTTTCAATTTCACGTTGGTGTTCTAAGACTGCTAGTATATACCATTTCCTTTGTGATTTTTCTGAAATATAAATCTGATCACACTACTCTTCCGGTTAAAATCTTTTGAGTAATCCCCAATACTACCTACAGGATCAAGGCAAAACTCTGCACCAAGGTCCTTGCTGGAATGACCACAGCTTCACACACCCAAATTCCAGCAACTTGATGCTCCCAGAGGAGCCATGCTGTTCCATGACCCTCTCCCTATGCTGTTATCTCTCTCCCTATGCTGTTTCTTCTGGCCCTGCCTTCCCCACCTACAAACATTTGGCTAACTTGAAGACCACAACCTATAATACACTTTCCTGACTTTTCCCCACTCCCTGAAGTGTAACACTGACCCAACTGAACTCTCTCAAAACGCTTCCCAGGGGGCCATGACTATTTTTTTCCTGTGTCCTGCACTAGTGCTAGCACATGGCAGGAAATTAAGCAACATGTTATCTATAAACACATAGCCAGGCTGGGGAGTTACAAACATCATATAGCTCTTCACCTAACAGCTCTCTGAAGCAGGCAAACTGCAAAATTAACCTTTTACCCGAATAAAAGCTACAGAGAATCCTACAGAAAGGCTGACTTTCTGTGATTAGAATAGGAAACTAGCTCCTCGTTGTTATGCCCTACAACTTGTGATCCCTTTTATGACCCTCAGGGACCTTTAGAATTTCCATCGCATTTCCATTTTCTCCTACGTAGCAAGCTCCCTTTGCTCCCTTTGCTATGAAACTGCAACTGTGAACATCTTTCTTCCTTCTGGTTTGCAGGAGAATAAGAACATATACACTTTGCCTGGTGTGAAGTCAATTGCATTCGGACCCCTTGACCTTAAAAAGCAAACAACTTTTGCAGACACAAGATGTCAACGTTCAACTTTTACTATATCATCGTCCACTTTCCCTATTTATACAACATTCCTTAAGCCTCTTACCCAGTATGCGCTGATTAACAGTTCTTCTAAGTGAGAGTGTGAGCGCCTACATTTTTCGATTCGCTGAGTTAAAAGACCTCTGGGACTGGGAAGATAAAGTAACCTTGAAGATACTACCTACAGGATTTTCCAATAGAAAAACTGCAGGACCAGCTGCTGAGAGCTGGGCCGTGCCAAGTCCCTGGCTCTTTCCAGGGGCTGGAGCAGCAGGAGACCTTAGGTTTGGCCTGTCACTCACCTGACTGGGTGCCTGTATCGCGAAATCTTTCCAGAGGCTGCGGTCATCCCGGGCATCTGGAGACGTAAGGAGATGAATCATAGTTATCACTCACCTTTTTCTAGAACCTGGAAACTCGCGGGACCAAGTCTTCCTCGCGCCCTCAGGGAAAGTGACCCCAGGGCTCTCTGCAGCCTCGCTCTTGGCCCGATCCCCGTGTCGCAATTGCTCTCGCTCATCAGCACCAACAGGGCCACGGGTAGGACCACCGCAGGACCACCAGCAGGCGCGATCTTAAGCGAGGGGCTGGCCGGGCGCGTGTCTCCCTCGGGCCGGCGTTCCCAGCCCTGGAGAACTATCTGCGCCCCTCGGAGGCGCGGCCAGCCACGCGCGGCTCACTCACCACCTCCTCGGCGTCGTGCGGGGCCTCCTCCTCCTGCTTTCCTCGTGCGTCAATCCACGGTCTCCAGAAGCCTCCGGATCTGCGGAGTGGGGAGCAAAGGCGCGCAGAGGAGACGTGAGCCCAGACTCGGCAGAACCGATCGCAGCCGAGCGTGGACCCGGGGGAAATGGGGTGGAGGGGAGGGGAGGAGGAATGGAGGGCGGGAGCGGAGAGGAGGAGCTGGAGAGGCAGGCGCTGGAGGGTGCGGTA